ACACACTCACTCACTCAGCCACTCACTCACTCACTCAGCCACTCACTCACTCACTCAGCCACTCACTCACTCACACACTCACCCACCCACTCACTCACACACTCACTCACCACTCACACACTCACTCACCACACATCCCTCAGTACTACCCTGAGCTACCAGACCCACACACCTACATACGCACTCCGGTACTCACCACTCACTCACCACACATCCCTCAGTACTACCCTGAGCTACCGGACCCACACACCTACATACGCACTCCGGTACTCACCACTCACTCACCACTCACTCACAGACTCACTCACTCACACACTCACTCACTCACCACTCACTCACCACTCACTCACCACTCACTCACCACTCACTCACCACACATCCCTCAGTACTACCCTGAGCTATCGGACCCACACACCTACATATGCACTCCGGTACTCACCACTCACTCACCACTCACTCACTCACACACTCACCACACATCCCTCAGTACTACCCTGAGCTACCGGACCCACACACCTACATACGTACTCCGGTAATCACCACTCACTCACCCACTCACTCAGCCACTCACTCACTCACCACACATCCCTCAGTACTACCCTGAGCTACCGGACCCACACACGTACATACGCACTCCGGTAATCACCACTCACTCAGCCACTCACACACTCACTCACTCACTCACCCACTCAGCCACTCACCCACTCACCCACTCGCTCACTCACACACTCACTCACCACTCACTCACTCACACATCCCCCAGTACTACCCTGAGCTACCAGACCCACACACCTACATACGCACTCCGGTAATCACCACTCACTCACCACTCACTCACACACTCACTCACCCACTCACTCACACACTCACCACACATCCCCCAGTACTACCCTGAGCTACCGGACCCACACACCTACATACGCACTCCGGTACTCACCACTCACTCACCACTCACTCACTCACCACACATCCCTCAGTACTACCCTGAGCTACCGGACCCACACACCTACATACGCACTCCGGTAATCACCACTCACTCACTCACTCAGCCACTCACTCACTCAGCCACTCACTCACACACTCAGCCACTCACTCACTCACCCACCCACCCACTCATTCACTCACCCACTCACTCACTCACCACTCACTCACTCACCACTCACTCACTCACTCACCCACTCACTCACTCACCCACTCAGCCACTCAGCCACTCACTCACTCACTCAGCCACTCACTCAGCCACTCACTCAATCACCACACATCACTCAGTACTACCCTGAGATACCGGACCCACACACCTACATACCCACTCCGGTAATCACCACTCACCCACTCACTCACTCACTCACCCACTCACACACTCACTCACTCAGCCACTCACTCACTCAGCCACTCACTCACTCACTCAGCCACTCACTCACCACTCAATCACCACACATCCCCCAGTACTACCCTGAGCTACCGGACCCACACACCTACATACGCACTCCGGTAATCACCACTCACTCACTCACCACTCACTCAGCCACTCAGACACTCACTCACTCAGCCACTCACTCACTCACTCAGCCACTCACCCACTCACTCACTCACTCACGCACTCACTCACCCACTCACTCACTCACCCACTCACTCACCACACATCCCCCAGTACTACCCTGAGCTACCGGACCCACACACCTACATACGCACTCCGGTAATCACCACTCACTCACCACTCACTCACACACTCACTCACCCACTCACTCACCACTCACTCACTCACTCACCCACTCACTCAGCCACTCACTGACTCACTCACCCACTCACTCACCCACTCACTCACCCACTCACTCACCCACTCACCCACTCACTCACCACACATCCCCCAGTACTACCCTGGGCTACCGGACCCACACACCTACGTACGCACTCCGGTAATCACCACTCACTCACTCACTCACCACTCACTCACCACTCACTCACCACTCACTCACCACTCACTCACCACTCACTCACCACACATCCCTCAGTACTACCCTGAGCTACCGGACCCACACACCTACATACACACTCCGGTAATCACCACTCACTCACTCACCACTCACTCACTCACTCACCACCCACTCACCCACTCACTCACCACACATCCCCCAGTACTACCCTGAGCTACCGGACCCACACACCTACATACGCACTCCGGTACTCACCACTCACTCACCACTCACTCACTCACCACTCACTCACTCACTCACCACACATCCCCCAGTACTACCCTGAGCTACCGGACCCACACACCTACATACGCACTCCGGTAATCACCACTCACTCACCACTTACTCACACACTCACTCACCCACTCACTCACCACTCACTCACTCACCCACTCGCTCAGCCACTCACTGACTCACTCACCCACTCACTCACTCAGCCACCCACTCACCACACATCCCCCAGTACTACCCTGAGCTACCGGACCCACACACCTACATACGCACTCCGGTAATCACCACTCACTCACTTTCTCACTCAGCCACTCACTCATCACTCACCCACCCACTCACCACTCACTCACTCACCCACTCACTCGGCCACTCACCCACTCACTCACTCACCCACCCACCCACCCACTCACTCACCCACCCACTCACTCACCCACCCACCCATCCACTCACTCACCACTCACTCACACACTCACTCACTCACACACTCACTCACCACACATCCCCCAGTACTACCCTGAGCTACCGGACCCACACACCTACATACGTACTCCGGTAATCACCAATCACTCACTCACCACTCACTCACTCACTCACACACTCACCACACATCCCCCAGTACTACCCTGAGCTACCAGACCCACACACCTACATACGCACTCCGGTAATCACCACTCACTCACTTACTCACTCAGCCACTCACTCATCACTCACCCACCCACTCACCACTCACTCACTCACCCACTCACCCACCCACTCACTCGGCCACTCACCCACTCACTCACTCACCCACCCACCCACCCACTCACTCACCCACTCACCCACCCACTCACTCACCCACCCACCCATCCACTCACTCATTCACACACTCACTCACTCACCACTCACTCACTCACACATCCCCCAGTACTACCCTGAGCTACCAGACCCACACACCTACATACGTACTCCGGTACTCACCACTCACTCACCACTCACTCACTCAGCCACTCACCACTTACTCACCACTCACTTACTCACTCACTCACCCACTCACTCACTCACTCACACACTCACTCACCCACTCACTCACCCACTCACTCAGCCACTCACCCACTCACTCACTCAGTCACCCACCCACTCACTCACACACTCACTCACTCACCACTCACCCACTCACCCACTCACTCACTCACTCACCCACCCACCCACTCACTCACACACTCACTCACCCACTCACTCACTGACCACTCACTCACTCACCACTCACTCACCACACATCCCCCAGTAGTACCCTGAGCTACCAGACCCACACACCTACATACGCACTCCGGTACTCACCACTCACCCACTCACTCACCCACTCACTCACCCACTCACTCACTCACTCATCCACCCCTCACTCACCCACTCACTCACCCACTCACTCACTCATCACTCACCCACTCATCACTCACCACTCACTCATTCACCCACTCACTCATCACTCACCACTCACTCACTCATCACTCACACACTCACTCACTCACTCACACACTCACTCACACGCTCACTCACCCACCACTCACTCATCACTCACCACTCACTCACTCACCCACTCACTCACGATTCACTCACCACTCACTCACCACTCACTCACCACTCACCCACCACTCACTCACTCACCACTCACTCACCCACTCACTCACTCACCACTCACTCACCACCACTCACCCACTCACTCACCCACTCACCCACCCACCCACTCACTCACCACCACTCACTCACCACTCACCACTCACTCACTCACGACTCACTCACCACTCACTCATCAATCACCACTCACTCACTCGCCATTCACTCACTCACCCCGTGTCTCACCCCCCGTGTCTCACCCCGTGGCTCACCCCACGTGTCTCACCCCCCGTGTCTCACCCCGTGTCTCACCCCCTGTGTCTCTCCCCGTGTCACTCCCCGTGTCTCTCCCCGTGTCTCACCCCGTGTCTCACCCCGTGTCTCTCCCCGTGTCTCTCCCTGTGTCTCACCCCGTGTCTCTCCCCGTATCTCCCCGTGTCTCACCCCGTGTCTCACCCCGCGTGTCTCTCTGTGGACGTACCGTGAGCCCGTGTCTGAGTACCAGGCGCTACGGGATCGTGTGTCTCACCCCGTGTCTCACCCTGTGTCTCTCCCCGTGTCTCACCCCGTGTCTCACCCGCGTGTCTCTCTGTAGACGTATCGTGAGCCCGTGTCTGGGTACCAGGCGCTACGGGATCGTGTGTCTCACCCTGTGTCTCACCCCGTGTCTCACCCCGTGTCTCACCCCGTGTCTCACCCCGCGTGTCTCTCTGTAGACGTATCGCGAGCCCGTGTCTGGGTACCAGGCGCTACGGGATCGTGTGTCTCACCCCGTGTCTCACCCCGTGTCTCACCCCGTGTCTCACCCCGTGTCTCTCCCCGTGTCTCACCCCGCGTGTCTCTCTGTAGACGTATCGTGAGCCCGTGTCTGGGTACCAGGCGCTACGGAATCGTGTGTCTCACCCCGTGTCTCACCCCGTGTCTCTCCCCGTGTCTCACCGTGTCTCTCTGTAGACGTATCGTGAGCCCGTGTCTGGGTACCAGGCGCTACGGGATCGTGTGTCTCACCCCGTGTCTCACCCCGTGTCTCACCCCGTGTCTCACCCCGCGTGTCTCTCTGTAGACGTATCGTGAGCCCGTGTCTGGGTACCAGGCGCTACGGGATCGTGTGTCTCACCCTGTGTCTCACCCTGTGTCTCACCCCGTGTGTCTCACCCCGTGTCTCACCCTGTGTCTCTCCCCGTGTCTCACCGTGTCTCTCTGTAGACGTATCGCGAGCCCGTGTCTGGGTACCAGGCGCTACGGGATCGTGTGTCTGCACGCCGGAGAGATGTTGAGACGTCTCTCACCAGATTCGTTGCCAAGACCGGCACCACTCCGCAAAGTCTCTTCGCCGGACACTCGGACACATTCCCCCGTGAGTACCACCAGCGGCAGTGGCAGTAGCGGAATCACTAGTAGTAGCAGTAGTAGTAGTAGTAATAGTATCAGTAGTAGTAGTATCAGTAGTAGTATCAGTAGTAGTATCAGTAGTAGTAGTATCAGTAGTAGTAGTATCAGTAGTAGTAGTATCAGTAGTAGTAGTAGCAGTAGTAGTAGCAGTAGTAGTATCAGTAGTAATATTATCAGTAGTAGCAGTAGTAGTATCAGTAGTAGTAGCAGTAGTAGTAGTAGCAGTAGTAGTAGTATCAGCAGTAGTAGTATCAGTAGTAGTAGTATCAGTAGTAGTAGTATCAGTAGTAGTAGTATCAGTAGTAGTAGTAGCAGTAGTAGTAGCAGTAGTAGTATCAGTAGTAATATTATCAGTAGTAGCAGTAGTAGTATCAGTAGTAGTAGCAGTAGTAGTAGTAGCAGTAGTAGTAGTATCAGCAGTAGTAGTATCAGTAGTAGTATCAGTAGTAGTAATATCAGTAGTAGTAGTATCAGTAGTAGTAGTATCAGCAGTAGTAGTATCAGTAGTAGTATTAGTAATAGTATTAGTAATAGTATCAGTAGTAATAGTATCAGTAGTAGTAGTATCAGTAGTAGTAGTAGTATCAGTAGTAGTAGTATCAGTAGTAGTAGTATCAGTAGTAGTAGTATCAGTAGTAATAGTATCAGTAGTAGTAGTATTAGTAGTAGTGGTAGTATCAGTAGTAGTAGTATCAGTAGTAGTAGTATCAGTAGTAGTAGCAGTAGTAGTATCAATAGTAGTGGTATCAGTAGTTGTGGTATCAGTAGTAGTAGTATCAGTAGTAGTAATAGTATCAGTAGTAATAGTATCAGTAGTAGCAGTAGTAGTAGTATCAGTAGTAGTAGTAGTATCAGTAGTAGTAGTATCAGTAGTAGTAGTATCAGTAGTAGTAGTATCAGTAGTAATAGTATCAGTAGTAGTATCAGTAGTAATAGTATCAGTAGTAGTAGTATCAGTAGTAATAGTATCAGTAGTAGTATCAGTAGTAGTAGCAGTAGTAGTATCAGTAGTAGTAGTATCAGTAGTAGTAGCAGTAGTAGTATCAGTAGTAGTAGTATCAGTAGTTGTAGTATCAGTAGTAGTAGCAGTAGTAGTATCAGTAGTAGTATCAGTAGTAGTAGCAGTAGTAGTATCAGTAGTAGTATCAGTAGTAGTAGAGTGGTGAGTGAGTGGTGAGTGAGTGGTGAGTGAGTGGTGAGTGAGTCGTGAGTGAGTGGGTGAGTGAGTGAGTGGTGAGTGAGTGAGTGGTGAGTGATGAGTGAGTGGGTGAATGAGTGAGTGGTGAGTGATGAGTGAGTGGTGGGTGAGCGAGTGAGAGTGTGAGTGAGTGAGTGTGTGAGTGAGTGAGTGGGTGAATGAGTGAGTGGTGAGTGATGAGTGGGTGAGTGATGAGTGAGTGGGTGAGTGAGGGGTGGATGATTGAGTGAGTGGGTGAGTGAGTGGGTGAGTGAGTGGGTGAGTGAGTGGGTGAGTGGTGAGTACCGGAGTGCGTATGGTGGTGTGTGGGTCTGGTAGCTCAGGGTAGTACTGGGGGATGTGTGGTGAGTGAGTGGTGAGTGAGTGGTGAGTGAGTGTGTGAGTGAGTGGGTGGGTGAGTGAGTGAGTGGGTGAGTGGCTGGGTGAGTGAGTGGGTGAGTGGTGAGTGGGTGAGTGGGTGAGTGAGTGGGTGAGTGAGTGAGTGGGTGAGTGAGTGAGTGAGTGGGTGAGTGAGTGAGTGGGTGAGTGAGTGAGTGGGTGAGTGAGTGAGTGAGTGGGTGAGTGAGTGGGTGAGTGAGTGGGTGAGTGAGTGGTGTGTGAGTGAGTGTGTGGGTGAGTGGGTGAGTGAGTGGGTGAGTGAGTGGGTGAGTGTGAGTGAGTGGTGAGTGAGTGGGTGAGTGAGTGGTGAGTGAGTGAGTGGGTGAGTGGTGAGTGAGTGAGTGGGTGAGTGAGTGGGTGAGTGAGTGAGTGTGCGAGTGTTGAGTGAGTGTGTGAGTGGTGAGTGAGTGGTGAGTACCGGAGTGCGTATGTAGGTGTGTGGGTCTGGTAGCTCAGGGTAGTACTGGGGGATGTGTGAGTGAGTGAGTGAGTGGTGAGTACCGGAGTGCGTATGTAGGTGTGTGGGTCTGGTAGTAGTAGTAGTATCAGTAGTAGTAGCAGTATCAGTAGTAGTATTAGTAGTAGTAATAGTATCAGTAGTAGTATCAGTAGTAGTATCAGTTATAGTATCAGTAGTAGTAGTATCAGTAGTAGTAGTATCAGTTATAGTATCAGTAGTAGTATCAGTAGTAGTAGTATCAGTAGTAGTAGTATCAGTAGTAGTAGTATTATGAGTAGTAGTATTATGAGTAGTAGTAGTATCAGTAGTAGTAATAGTATCAGTAGTAATAGTATCAGTAGTAGCAGTAGTAGTAGTATCAGTAGTAGTAGTAGTATCAGTAGTAGTAGTATCAGTAGTAGTAGTATCAGTAGTAGTAGTATCAGTAGTAATAGTATCAGTAGTAGTATCAGTAGTAATAGTATCAGTAGTAGTAGTATCAGTAGTAATAGTATCAGTAGTAGTATCAGTAGTAGTAGCAGTAGTAGTATCAGTAGTAGTAGTATCAGTAGTAGTAGCAGTAGTAGTATCAGTAGTAGTAGTATCAGTAGTTGTAGTATCAGTAGTAGTAGCAGTAGTAGTATCAGTAGTAGTATCAGTAGTAGTAGAGTGGTGAGTGAGTGGTGAGTGAGTGGTGAGTGAGTGGTGAGTGAGTCGTGAGTGAGTGGGTGAGTGAGTGAGTGGTGAGTGAGTGAGTGGTGAGTGATGAGTGAGTGGGTGAATGAGTGAGTGGTGAGTCATGAGTGAGTGGTGGGTGAGCGAGTGAGAGTGTGAGTGAGTGAGTGTGTGAGTGAGTGAGTGGGTGAATGAGTGAGTGGTGAGTGATGAGTGGGTGAGTGATGAGTGAGTGAGTGGGTGAGTGAGGGGTGGATGAGTGAGTGAGTGGGTGAGTGAGTGGGTGAGTGAGTGGGTGAGTGAGTGGGTGAGTGGTGAGTACCGGAGTGCGTATGTAGGTGTGTGGGTCTGGTAGCTCAGGGTAGTACTGGGGGATGTGTGGTGAGTGAGTGGTGAGTGAGTGGTGAGTGAGTGGGTGAGTGAGTGGGTGAGTGAGTGAGTGAGTGAGTGGGTGAGTGGCTGGGTGTGTGAGTGGGTGAGTGGTGAGTGGGTGAGTGGGTGAGTGAGTGGGTGAGTGAGTGAGTGGGTGAGTGAGTGAGTGAGTGGGTGAGTGAGTGAGTGGGTGAGTGAGTGAGTGGGTGAGTGAGTGAGTGAGTGGGTGAGTGAGTGGGTGAGTGAGTGGGTGGGTGAGTGGTGTGTGAGTGAGTGTGTGGGTGAGTGGGTGAGTGAGTGGGTGAGTGAGTGGGTGAGTGAGTGAGTGGTGAGTGAGTGGGTGAGTGAGTGGTGAGTGAGTGAGTGGGTGAGTGGTGAGTGAGTGAGTGGGTGAGTGAGTGGGTGAGTGAGTGAGTGTGCGAGTGTTGAGTGAGTGTGTGAGTGGTGAGTGAGTGGTGAGTACCGGAGTGCGTATGTAGGTGTGTGGGTCTGGTAGCTCAGGGTAGTACTGGGGGATGTGTGAGTGAGTGGTGAGTACCGGAGTGCGTATGTAGGTGTGTGGGTCTGGTAGTAGTAGTAGTATCAGTAGTAGTAGCAGTATCAGTAGTAGTATCTGTAGTAGTTATAGTATCAGTAGTAGTATCAGTAGTAGTATCAGTAGTAGTAGTATCAGTAGTAGTATCAGTAGTAGTAGTATCAGTAGTAGTACCAGTTATAGTATCAGTAGTAGTATCAGTAGTAGTAGTATCAGTAGTAGTAGTATCAGTAGTAGTAGTATTATGAGTAGTAGTATTATGAGTAGTAGTAGTATCAGTAGTAGTAATAGTATCAGTAGTAATAGTATCAGTAGTATCAGTAGTAGTAGTATCAGTAGTAGTAGTAGTATCAGTAGTAGTAGTATCAGTAGTAGTAGTATCAGTAGTAGTAGTATCAGTAGTAATAGTATCAGTAGTAGTATCAGTAGTAGTTATAGTATCAGTAGTAGTATCTCTAGTCGTTATAGTATCAGTAGTAGTATCAGTAGTATATATAGTAATAGTATCAGTAGTAGTATCAGTAGTAGTTATAGTATCAGTAGTAGTATCAGTAGTAGTATCAGTAGTAGTAGTATCAGTAGTTGTAGTATCAGTAGTAGTAGCAGTAGTAGTATCAGTAGTAGTATCAGTAGTAGTAGAGTGGTGAGTGAGTGGTGAGTGAGTGGTGAGTGAGTCGTGAGTGAGTGGGTGAGTGAGTGAGTGGTGAGTGAGTGAGTGGTGAGTGATGAGTGAGTGGGTGAATGAGTGAGTGGTGAGTGATGAGTGAGTGGTGGGTGAGCGAGTGAGAGTGTGAGTGAGTGAGTGTGTGAGTGAGTGAGTGGGTGAATGAGTGAGTGGTGAGTGATGAGTGGGTGAGTGATGAGTGAGTGGGTGAGTGAGGGGTGGATGAGTGAGTGAGTGGGTGAGTGAGTGGGTGAGTGAGTGGGTGAGTGAGTGGGTGAGTGGTGAGTACCGGAGTGCGTATGTAGGTGTGTGGGTCTGGTAGCTCAGGGTAGTACTGGGGGATGTGTGGTGAGTGAGTGGTGAGTGAGTGGTGAGTGAGTGTGTGAGTGAGTGGGTGGGTGAGTGAGTGAGTGAGTGGGTGAGTGGCTGGGTGAGTGAGTGGGTGAGTGGTGAGTGGGTGAGTGGGTGAGTGAGTGGGTGAGTGAGTGAGTGGGTGAGTGAGTGAGTGAGTGGGTGAGTGAGTGAGTGGGTGAGTGAGTGAGTGGGTGAGTGAGTGAGTGAGTGGGTGAGTGAGTGGGTGAGTGAGTGGGTGAGTGAGTGGTGTGTGAGTGAGTGTGTGGGTGAGTGGGTGAGTGAGTGGGTGAGTGAGTGGGTGAGTGTGAGTGAGTGGTGAGTGAGTGGGTGAGTGAGTGGTGAGTGAGTGAGTGGGTGAGTGGTGAGTGAGTGAGTGGGTGAGTGAGTGGGTGAGTGAGTGAGTGTGCGAGTGTTGAGTGAGTGTGTGAGTGGTGAGTGAGTGGTGAGTACCGGAGTGCGTATGTAGGTGTGTGGGTCTGGTAGCTCAGGGTAGTACTGGGGGATGTGTGAGTGAGTGAGTGAGTGGTGAGTACCGGAGTGCGTATGTAGGTGTGTGGGTCTGGTAGTAGTAGTAGTATCAGTAGTAGTAGCAGTATCAGTAGTAGTATTAGTAGTAGTAATAGTATCAGTAGTAGTATCAGTAGTAGTATCAGTAGTAGTAGTATCAGTAGTAGTAGTATCAGTAGTAGTAGTATCAGTAGTAGTATCAGTGGTAATAGTATCAGTAGTAGTATCAGTAGTAGTAGTATCAGTAGTAGTAGTATCAGTAGTAGTAGTATTATGAGTAGTAGTATTATGAGTAGTAGTAGTATCAGTAGTAATAGTATCAGCAGTAGTAGTATCAGTAGTAGTAGTATTATCAGTAGTAGTAGTATCAGTAGTAGTAGTATCAGTAGTAGTAGTATCAGTAGTAGTAGTATCAGTAGTAGTAGTATCAGTAGTAGTATTAGTATCAATAGTAGTAGTATCAGTAGTAATAGTATCAGTAGTAGTAGTATGAGTAGTAGTAGTATCAGTAGTAATAGTATCAGCAGTAGTAGTATCAGTAGTAGTATCAGTAGTAGTAGTATCAGTAGTAGTAGTATCAGTAGTAGTAGTATTAGTATCAGTAGTATCAGTAGTAGTATCAGTAGTAGTAGTATCAGTAGTAGTATCAGTAGTAGTAGTAGTATCAGTAGTAGTAGTAGTATCAGTAGTAGTAGTATCAGTTATAGTATCAGTAGTAGTATCAGTAGTAGTATCAGTAGTAGTAGTATCAGTAGTAGTATCAGTAGTAGTATCAGTTATAGTATCAGTAGTAGTAGTAGTATCAGTAGTAGTAGTATCAGTAGTAGTAGTATTAGTATCAGTAGTATCAGTAGTAGTATCAGTAGTAGTAGTATCAGTAGTAGTATCAGTAGTAGTAGTAGTATCAGTAGTAGTAGTAGTATCAGTAGTAGTAGTAGTAATAGTATCAGTAGTAGTATCAGTAGTAGTATCAGTAGTAATAGTATCAGTAGTAGTATCAGTAGTAGTATCAGTAGTAGAAGTATTAGTAGTAGTAGTAGTATCAGTAGTAGTAGTAGTATCAGTAGTAGTAGTATCAGTATCAGTAGTAGTATCAGTAGTATCAGTAGTCGTAGTAGTAGTATCAGTAGTAGTAGTATCATTAGTAGTATCAGTAGTAGTATCAGTAGTAGTAGTAGTATCAGTAGTAGTATCAGTAGTATATATAGTAATAGTATCAGTAGTAGTATCAGTAGTAGTAGTATCAGTAGTAGTATCAGTTATAGTATCAGTAGTAGTATCAGTAGTAGTAGCAGTAGTAGTATCAGTTATAGTATCAGTTATAGTATCAGTAGTAGTAGTATTAGTAGTATCAGTAGTAATAGTATCAGTAGTAGTAGTATTAGTAGTATCAGTAGTAATAGTATCAGTAGTAGTAATAGTATCAGTAGTAGTAGTATCAGTAGTATTAGTATCAGTAGTAATAGTATCAGTAGTAATAGTATCAGTAGTAATAGTATCAGTAGTAATAGTATCAGTAGTAGTATCAGTAGTAGTAATAGTATCAGTAGTAGTAGTATCAGTAGTAGTATCAGTAGTAGTAGTAGACTCCACCCCCCCTGACCCCTCCCCCCTGACTCCACCCCCTTCTGACTCATCCCCCCCCCTGACTCCTCCCCTGACTCTACCCCCTCCCCCCTGACTCCCCCCCTGACTCCACCACCTCCTGACTCCTCCCCACTGACTCCTCCCCCCTGACTCCCCCCCTGACTCCACCACCTCCTGACTCCTCCCCCCTGACTCCTCCCCCATGACTCCACCCCCCCCCCCCGACTCCTCCCCCCCTGACTCCACTCCCCCGACTCCACCCCCCCCCCCCCGACTCCTCCCCCCTGACTCCTCCCCCCTGACTCCACCCCCACCTGACTCCTCCCCCCCTGACTCCACCCCTAACCCCACCCCCTCCCCCTGACTCCTCCCCCTGACTCCTCCCCCCAGTGATCGCCTGCACCCCGTCACTGCTGCCCTACCTGGGAGCGCTTCTCCCTTCCGAGTTGGAGGGACAGGGGGAGGGGTCGTCCGAGGAAGGGGGGGGCGACGGGGGAGGGGGCCTAGGGGGGACCTCGGTGAGCACTGTACACGCACTGTACACACACTGTACACACTGTACACGCACTGTACACACAGGTCATGTGCTGTCCCCGTGTCCCCATCTCCCCGTGTCTCCGTGTGTCTGTGTCCCCATCTCCCCGTGTCTCCGTGTGTCTGTGTCCCCATCTCACTGTGTCTCCGTGTGTCTGTGTCCCCATCTCACTGTGTCTCCATCTCCTCGTGTCCCCATCTCACTGTGTCTCCGTGTGTCTGTGTCCCCATCTCACTGTGTCTCCGTGTCTCCATCTCCTCGTGTCCCCATCTCCCCGTGTCTCCGTGTGTCTGTGTCCCCATCTCACTGTGTCTCCGTGTCTCCATCTCCTCGTGTCCCCATCTCCCCGTGTCTCCGTGTGTCTGTGTCCCCATCTCACTGTGTCTCTGTGTCTCCATCTCCCCGTGTCTCCATCTCACCGTGTCTCCGTGTGTCTGTGTCCCCATCTCCCCGTGTCTCCGTGTGTCTGTGTCCCCATCTCACTGTGTCTCCGTGTCTCCATCTCCTCGTGTCTCCATCTCCTCGTGTCTCCATCTCACCGTGTCTCCGTGTGTCTGTGTCCCCATCTCACCGTGTCTCCGTGTCTCCATCTCCCCGTGTCTCCATCTCCTCGTGTCTCTGTGTGTTCGTGTCTCCATCTCCCCGTGTCTCCATCTCCCCGTGTCTTCATGTGGCCTTGTTGTCCCCATCTCCTCGTGTCTCCATCTCCCCGTGTCTCCGTGTCCCCATCTCCTCGTGTCTCCATCTCCTCGTGTCTCCATCTCACCGTGTCTCTGTGTGTCTGTGTCCCCATCTCACTGTCTCCATCTCACTGTGTCTCCGTGTCTCCATCTCCCCGTGTCTCTGTGTGTCTGTGTCTCCATCTCCCCGTGTCTCCATCTCCCCGTGTCTCCATCTCCTCGTGTCTCCATCTCCCCGTGTCTCCATCTCCCCGTGTCTTCATGTCTCCGTGTGGCCTTGTTGTCCCCATCTCCTCGTGTCTCCATCTCCCCGTGTCTCCGTGTGTCCATCTCCCCGTGTCTCCATCTCACCGTGTCTCCCCGTGTCTCCCCATGACCCCGTGTCTCCCCATGCACCCCGTGCCTCCCCGTGTCTCCCCATGACCCCGTGTCTCCCCGTGTCTCCCCGTGTCTCCCCATGACCCCGTGTCTCCCCGTGTCTCCCCGTGTCTCCCCATGACCCCGTGTCTCCCCATGCACCCCGTGTCTCCCCATGACCCCGTGTCTCCCCGTGTCTCCCCATGACCCCGTGTCTCCCCATGACCCCGTGTCTCCCCGTGTCTCCCCATGACCCCGTGTCTCCCCGTGTCTCCCCATGACCCCGTGTCTCCCCGTGTCTCCCCATGACCCCGTGTCTCCCCGTGTCTCCCCATGACCCCGTGTCTCCCCGTGTCTCCCCGCGTCTCCCCATGACCCCGTGTCTCCCCGCGTCTCCCCATGACCCCGTGTCTCCCCATGACCCCGTGTCTCCCCATGCACCCCGTGTCTCCCCATGACCCCGTGTCTCCCCGTGTCTCCCCATGACCCCGTGTCTCCCCGTGTCTCCCCGTGTCTCCCCGCGTCTCCCCATGCACCCCGTGTCTCCCCGTGTCTCCCCATGACCCCGTGTCTCCCCGTGTCTCCCCATGTCTCCCCGCGTCTCCCTGTGTCTCCCCGCATCTCCCCGTGTCTCCGTGTCTCCCCGCGTCTCCCCGTGTCTCCCCGCGTCTCCCCGTGTCTCCGTGTCTCCCCGCGTCTCCCCATGACCCCGTGTCTCCCCATGACCCCGTGTCTCCCCATGTCTCCCCATGACCCCGTGTCTCCCCGCGTCTCCCCGTGTCTCCCCATGCACCCCGTGTCTCCCCGTGTCTCCCCATGCACCCCGTGTCTCCCCATGTCTCCCCATGACCCCGTGTCTCCCCATGACCCCGTGTCTCCCCGTGTCTCCCCGTGTCTCCCCATGCACCCCGTGTCTCCCCGTGTCTCCCCATGTCTCCATGTCTCCCCGTGTCTCCCCATGCACCCTGTGTCTCCCCGCGTCTCCCCATGACCCCGTGTCTCCCCGTGTCTCCCCGTGTCTCCCCGTGTCTCCCCAGGAGGACTCTGGGCCGCTGTCTCCCGGAGACAGAGACAGCGGAGACGGAGGAGCGGGGGCTGGTGGGGGCCCCTCCCAGGCGGCCACCCCCCGAGCCCCCGCGGCCCCTCCCCCCCCGCCCCCCCCACGGAGGAGCCCCCCATAGACAACCCCTACCTGAGACCCGTGGGGACCCCTAGGGGCAAGCGGGGGTCTCGCAAGTGACGCGGGGGGGGGGGGGGGGGAGAGACGCGGGGGGGAGACACGGGGGAGACGTGGGGGAGGGGGGAGACACGGGGGGAGACACGGGGGAGACACGGGGGGAGACATGGGGACATACTGTGGGAGACACGGGGTGAGACACAGGGGGAGACACGGGTGAGACAGGGGGAGACACAGGGGGAGACACGGGGTGAGATACGGGGGGAGACACGGGGGGAGACACGGGAGAGACTCGGGTGAGACAGGGGGAGACACAGGGGGAGACACGGGGTGAGATACGGGGAGAGACACGGGGGGAGACACGGGAGAGACTCGGGTGAGACAGGGGGAGACACGGGGGGAGACACGGGGGGAGACACGGGGGAGACACGGGGGGAGACACGGGGGGGACACGGGGGGAGACACGGGGGGGGAGGAGATGTGATGTGATATGCGAGGAGTTTTGTTTGAAATAAAAAAAACTTTTTCTAGAAACCTACGCAGACTTTGACCACCTCGCAAACACCACAACCATCAACAACCATCAACAACCACCACAACCATCAACAACCATCAACAACCACCACTCGCCACTAAGTGGCGGTGACGTCACCACGACGCTTGTGCCAGGCTATGTGCACCTTGAGGCCACGTGAAGTGTCGAACGCCCGCTGGCAGGAGGTCACTGGGCAGACCCAGCAGGTGCCACGGGTCGACTGACTGAGATGACTGGCTGATGCACCACCTGTGCCCCCTACTGTGCCAACCTGCTGTGCTTTAGCCACCCGGCGCTCCGCTCGTTGTTGTGAGCGTCGCTCCTCCGCCCTCCGTTGTTGTTGGAGGGCGACTGCCTCCAAATGCCCAGTAGCATCCTTCATGAGCCTCCTCCACAGAGGCCGATCTTGACACCGCTGGTACCAGTCATCGGCAAGTCCACTCAGCTCCACGTCCTCCTGTACCACATCACTCCATCTCTTCTCTAGCCCGTGCCGCGCCCGCTTTGCCCCCTCAATCCGGCCGAACAAAAGCTGTTTCGGCATGCGGTGGCTGGGCATGCGGGCTACATGACCCAGCCATCGCAGCCTTGCCTGCCGGAGGACCTCACCGATGGGACCGTGCCCAGATCTTTCAAGGATTTGTGAGCTCCTCACACAATCCAGCCTGGTTAAACCCAGGATGGATCGTAGGCAGGCCAGCCTAAATGTTTCTAACCGGCGAAGATGTTCCATTAGGGGGGGGTCCACGTTTCGCAAGCGTAGAGAAGGGAGGGAATGACCGTGGCCGAGAAGACCTGAAGCTTAGTGCGGAGCGACAGACCAGGTAGCTTCCACACAGCGTTACGCAACCGATGAAAAGATGCCACTCACCACCACACTCAACAACACTCACCACCACACTCACGACCACCACACTCACCAACACCACAATCACCACCACCACACTCGCCAACACTCACCACCACCACACTCACCACCACAATCACCACCACCACCTCCACACTCACACAAAAGTGGCGAGTGAGACGGTGTGTCGAGGATTTTATTTTCGCGACACAGCACTAGCAACGACACCGCAATCCACCCCACCCCCCAAAACTCACCAAAAACACCCCACGCTCACCGCCGCTCACCGTGACCCACCGTGGCTCACCGTGAGCCCACTTCCATCAGCCGACCGCCTAACATGACTCACCACACGACACCAAGTGGTGAGTGAGTGAGTAGTGTGTGAGTGAGTGTGTGAGTGGGTGAGTGAGTGAGTGGGTGAGTGTGTGGATGGGTGTGTGAGTGGGTAGTGAGTGGGTAGTGAGTGGGTAGTGAGTGTGTGGGTGGGTGTGTGAGTGGGTGAGTGAATGATTGTGTGAGTGGGTGAGTGAGTGGGTAGTGAGTGTGTGAGTGGGTGTGTGAGTGGGTGTGTGAGTGAGTGGGTGTGTGAGTGAGTGGGTGAGTGAGTCAGTGAGTGGGTGAGTGTGTGAGTGGGTGGGTGGGTGAGTGAGTGGGTGGGTGAGTGGGTGTGTGAGTGGGTGAGTGTGTGGGTGGGTGTGTGATTGGGTGGGTGGGTGAGTGAGTGGGTGTGTGGGTGGGTGAGTGTGTGATTGGGTGGGTGGGTGAGTGAGTGGGTGAGTGGGTGGGTGTGTGAGTGGGTGGGTGTGTGAGTGAGTGGGTGGGTGAGTGGGTGGGTGGATGTGTGAGTGGGTGGGTGGGTGTGTGGTGGGTGTGTGTGAGTGGGTGTGTGGTGGGTGGATGAGTGATTGAGTGAGTGGGTGTATGGTGGGTGGGTGTGTGAGTGGGTGGGTGTGTGAGTGGGTGTGTGAGTGTGGTGGGTGGGTGAGTGGGTGGGTGAGTGGGTGGGTGTGTGGTGGGTGTGTGAGTGGGTGGGTGTGTGAGTGGGTGGGTGTGTGAGTGAGTGGGTGTGTGAGCGAGTGGGTGGGTGGGTGAGTGAGTGGGTGGGTGTGTGAGTGGGTGTGTGAGTGGGTGGGTGAGTGGGTGGGTGTGTGGTGGGTGTGTGTGAGTGGGTGGGTGTGTGGTGGGTGGATGAGTGATTGAGTGAGTGAGTGGGTGTGTGAGTGAGTGTGGTGGGTGGGTGAGTGGGTGGGTGTGTGGTGGGTGGGTGTGTGGTGGGTGTGTGAGTGGGTGGGTGGGTGGGTGTGTGAGTGAGTGGGTGGGTGGGTGGGTGTGTGAGTGAGTGGGTGGGTGGGTGTGTGAGTGAGTGGGTGGGTGGGTGGGTGTGTGAGTGAGTGGGTGGGTGGGTGTGTGAGTGAGTGGGTGGGTGGGTGTGTGAGTGAGTGGGTGGGTGGGTGGGTGTGTGAGTGGGTGGGTGGGTGAGTGTGTGAGTGAGTGGGTGGGTGTGTGAGTGGGTGTGTGAGTGAGTGGGTGTGTGGTGGGTGTGTGAGTGGGTGGGTGTGTGAGTGGGTGTGTGAGTGAGTGAGTGGGTGGGTGTGTGAGTGGGTGTGTGAGTGAGTGGGTGTGTGGTGGGTGTGTGGTGGGTGTGTGAGTGAGTGGGTGGGTGTGTGGTGGGTGTGTGAGTGAGTGGGTGGGTGTGTGAGTGGGTGTGTGAGTGGGTGGGTGGGTGTGTGTGTGTGAGTGGGTGGGTGGGTGAGTGGTTGTGTTAGTGAGTGGGTGTGTGAGTGGGTGGGTGTGTGAGTGAGTGGGTGGGTGTGTGAGTGAGTGGGTGTGTAAGTGGGTGTGTAAGTGGGTGGGTGTGTGAGTGAGTGGGTGGGTGTGTGAGTGGGTGGGTGTGTGTGTGAGTGGGTGGGTGTGTGAGTGAGTGGGTGGGTGTGTGAGTGAGTGGGTGTGTAAGTGGGTGTGTAAGTGGGTGGGTGTGTGAGTGAGTGGGTGGGTGTGTGAGTGGGTGGGTGTGTGTGTGTGAGTGGGTGGGTGTGTGTGTGAGTGAGTGGGTGTGTGAGTGGGTGGGTGTGTGTGTGAGTGGGTGGGTGTGTGTGTGAGTGGGTGGGTGTGTGAGTGAGTGAGTGGGTGTGTTAGTGAGTGGGTGTGTGAGTGGGTGTGTGAGTGGGTGGGTGGGTGTGTGAGTGGGTGGGTGGGTGTGTGAGTGGGTGGGTGGGTGTGTGAGTGGGTGGGTGGGTGTGTGAGTGGGTGGGTGGGTGTGTGTGTGAGTGTGTGAGTGGGTGTGTGAGTGGGTGGGTGGGTGTGTGTGAGTGGGTGGGTGGTTGTGTTAGTGAGTGGGTGTGTTAGTGGGTGGGTGTGTAAGTGGGTGGGTGGTAATTGGTGAGTGTGGTGTGTTGGGTATGCAGGTAAGCGCTACGACACTACTGGCCCCAGAGTGGAACGTACACACACACACACAGATAGATATATAGGTATGGATACTCTCATAATTAATTAGCATTGCTCATCATCATCAGCGGCGAAATGCAGGGTTTGATCAGCAGTGATCAATAAATAACCTAGCCCTCGACCCCTGACCTCCCACCTGACCCTTAACCCCTGACAAACCTAGCCCTCGACCCCTGACCTCCCACCTGACCCTTAACCCCTGACAAACCTAGCCCTCGACCCCTGACCTCCCACCTGACCCTTAACCCCTGACAAACCTAGCCCTCGACCCCTGACCTCCCACCTGACCCTTAACCCCTGACAAACCTAGCCCTCGACCCCTGACCTCCCACCTGACCCTTAACCCCTGACAAACCTAGCCCTCGACCCCTGACCTCCCACCTGACCCTTAACCCCTGACAAACCTAGCCCTCGACCCCTGACCTCCCACCTGACCCTTAACCCCTGACAAACCTAGCCCTCGACCCCTGACCTCCCACCTGACCCTTAACCCCTGACAAACCTAGCCCTCGACCCCTGACCTCCCACCTGACCCTTAACCCCTGACAAACCTAGCCCTCGACCCCTGACCTCCTACCTGACCCTTAACCCCTGACTTACCTAGCCCTCGACCCCTGACCTACCACCTGACCCTTAACCCCTGACAAACCTAGCCCTCGACCCCTGACCCTTAACCCCTGACTTACCTAGCCTCGACCCCTGACCTCCCACGTGACCCTTAACCCCTGACTTACCTAGCCCTCGACCCCTGACCTCCTACCTGACCCTTAACCCCTGACAAACCTAGCCCTCGACCCCTGACCTCCTACCTGACCCTTAACCCCTGACAAACCTAGCCCTCGACCCCTGACCTCTCAGCACGACCCCCAATCCCCACTCGAACCCCCCCCCCATTCAACCTATGGCCATAACCCTGACCCCTGACTTATGACCCCACCTAACCCAACCCCCTGACCCCCGACCCCCCCCCCCCCCCCGTGTCATCGCCACGGTAACCGGGAGCTCAACAAGCGATGATCGCGTCTACCCCGTGACCCCACTCCCCCCCAGCAGCTCTTTGACCCGTGACCCCTAACCCCTTGTGCTTGACCCTCGACCTCTCCCTCACCCCCCCCCCCCCCGGCAGTGTTTACACCAAAAGCATTGCACGACCTTTGACCCCAGCCCCGCCGAACTATGACCCCGACACGACCTCGACCTCGCACGCCCCCCCGCATCGAACCTTGGACCCCCACAGTCAACCTTTGACCCCTCCCCCCACCCCACTCATTACTAACGGAAGCTCCTCGCCAATCACAGCCCTCGCCCCCCTTGACCTGTGACCTCTCACCCCTGCCCCCCTTCCCCCCCCACCGTGACCCCTCCCCCTACTTCATAGCTGCCTTACCCACCCCCCCCCCCCAAAACAAACCCCCCCACAACCCCCCACAACCCCCCACAACCCCCCCCCACCACCACAACCCCCCACAACCCCCCACCAAGGTTCACAACTTCCCTCTCGTTACCCAGAATGCCGCGGGGCAGCGCCCGCGGGTTCCCAGGACGCATCAGTCGGGGCTCGTCAACTTCCGGGGGGCGTGGCCGGGGGCGGGGCCGGGGGCGGGGCCTCCCCCGCCCTTGACCTCCGACCCCCCGGGAGCCGCCCCTCCCCCGCCCTGCTGCCGCCCCCTCACGGCCGCCACGTAGGAGAAGAGGCAGAGCACAGCGTAGCAGATCTCGTGGGCCTGGGGGGGGGCACGGGGGGGGGGGGGGGGGGGAGGGGGGAGGGGGGGGGGAGACAGGGGTGTCACTGTGTGTGTGTACACTGTGTGTGTGTGTACACTGTGTGTGTGTGTTACTGTGTGTGTGTCACTGTGTGTGTGTCACTGTGTGTGTGTGTGTCACTGTGTGTGTGTCACTGTGTGTGTGTTACTGTGTGTGTGTCATTGTGTGTGTCACTGTGTGTGTGTGTTACTGTGTGTGTGTGTCACTGTGTGTGTGTCACTGTGTGTGTGTGTGTCACTGTGTGTGTGTCACTGTGTGTGTGTCACTGTGTGTGCGTCACTGTGTGTGTGTCACTGTGTGTGTGTGTGTCACTGTGTGTGTGTCATTGTGTGTGTCACTGTGTGTGTATGTCACTGTGTGTGTGTCACTGTGTGTGTCACTGTGTGTCACTGTGTGTGTGTGTGTCACTGTGTGTGTGTCACTGTGTGTGTCACTGTGTGTCACTGTGTGTGTATGTCACTGTGTGTGTGTCACTGTGTGTGTCACTGTGTGTCACTGTGTGTGTGTGTGTCACTGTGTGTGTGTCACTGTGTGTGTGTGTCACTGTGTGTGTGTGTCACTGTGTGTGTGTCACTGTGTGTGTGTCACTGTGTGTCACTGTGTCACTGTGTGTGTGTCACTGTGTGTGTGTTACTGTGTGTGTGTGTCACTCTGTGTGTGTGTGTTACTGTGTGTGTGTGTGTGTTACTGTGTGTGTGTTACTGTGTGTGTGTGTGTCACTGTGTGTGTGTGTGTCACTGTGTGTGTGTGTTACTGTGTGTGTGTGTGTCACTGTGTGTGTGTGTACACTGTGTGTGTGTGTGTCACTGTGTGTGTGTGTACACTGTGTGTGTGTCTCACTGTGTGTGTGTCACTGTGTGTGTGTGTGTGTCACTGTGTGTGTGTGTCACTGTGTGTGTGTGTCACTGTGTGTGTGTCACTGTGTGTGTGTGTCACTGTGTGTGTGTGTCACTGTGTGTGTGTGTTACTGTGTGTGTTACTGTGTGTGTCACTGTGTGTGTCACTGTGTGTGTGTGTCACTGTGTGTGTGTGTCACTGTGTGTGTGTGTGGGTGTGTGTCACTGTGTGTGTGTGTGTCACTGTGTGTGTGTCACTGTGTGTGTGTGTCACTGTGTGTGTGTGTTACTGTGTGTGTGTTACTGTGTGTGTGTCACTGTGTGTGTTACTGTGTGTGTGTTACTGTGTGTGTGTGTCACTGTGTGTGTCACTGTGTGTGTGTGTGTCACTGTGTGTGTGTCACTGTGTGTGTGTTACTGTGTGTGTGTCACTGTGTGTGTGTCACTGTGTGTGTCACTGTGTGTGTGTCACTGTGTGTGTCACTGTGTGTGTGTCACTGTGTGTGTCACTGTGTGTGTGTGTGTCACTGTGTGTGTGTCACTGTGTGTGTGTCACTGTGTGTGTGTGTCATTGTGTGTGTGTCACTGTGTGTGTGTGTGTGTTACTGTGTGTGTGTGTGTCACTGTGTGTGTGTTACTGTGTGTGTGTGTCACTGTGTGTGTGTGTCACTGTGTGTGTACACTGTGTGTGTGTCACTGTGTGTGTGTGTCACTGTGTGTGTGTCACTGTGTGTGTGTCACTGTGTGTGTGTCACTGTGTGTGTGTCACTGTGTGTGTGTGTGTGTTACTGTGTGTGTGTGTGTCACTGTGTGTGTGTTACTGTGTGTGTGTGTCACTGTGTGTGTGGGTGTGTGTGTCACTGTGTGTGTCACTGTGTGTGTGTCACTGTGTGTGTCACTGTGTGTGTGTCACTGTGTGTGTGTCACTGTGTGTGTCACTGTGTGTGTGTGTGTCACTGTGTGTGTGTCACTGTGTGTGTGTCACTGTGTGTGTGTCACTGTGTGTATGTCACTGTGTGTGTGTCACTGTATGTGTGTGTCACTGTGTGTGTGTCATTGTGTGTGTGTGTCACTGTGTGTGTGTCACTGTGTGTGTGTGTCACTGTGTGTGTCAGTGTGTCACTGTGTCACTGTGTGTGTCACTGTGTGTGTGTGTCACTGTGTGTGTGTCACTGTGTGTGTGTGTGTCACTGTGTGTGTGTGTCACTGTGTGTGTGTGTCACTGTGTGTGTACACTGTGTGTGTGTCACTGTGTGTGTGTGTCACTGTGTGTGTGTCACTGTGTGTGTGTCACTGTGTGTGTGTCACTGTGTGTGTGTCATTGTGTGTGTGTCACTGTGTGTGTGTGTGTGTGTGTTACTGTGTGTGTGTGTGTCACTGTGTGTGTGTTACTGTGTGTGTGTCACTGTGTGTGTGGGTGTGTGTGTCACTGTGTGTGTCACTGTGTGTGTGTCACTGTGTGTGTCACTGTGTGTGTGTCACTGTGTGTGTGTCACTGTGTGTGTGTGTGTCACTGTGTGTGTGTCACTGTGTGTGTGTCACTGTGTGTGTGTCACTGTGTGTATGTCACTGTGTGTGTGTCACTGTGTGTGTGTGTCACTGTGTGTGTGTCATTGTGTGTGTGTGTCACTGTGTGTGTGTCACTGTGTGTGTGTGTGTCACTGTGTGTGTGTGTCACTGTGTGTGTGTGTCACTGTGTGTGTTACTGTGTGTGTGTGTGTCACTGTGTGTGTGTTACTGTGTGTGTGTGTCACTGTGTGTGTCAGTGTGTCACTGTGTCACTGTGTGTGTCACTGTGTGTGTGTGTCACTGTGTGTGTGTCACTGTGTGTGTGTGTGTCACTGTGTGTGTGTGTCACTGTGTGTGTGTCACTGTGTGTGTGTGTCACTGTGTGTGTGTGTCACTGTGTGTGTGTGTCACTGTGTGTGTCACTGTGTGTGTGTCAATGTGTGTGTGTGTCACTGTGTATGTGTCACTGTGTGTGTGTGTCACTGTGTGTGTCACTGTGTGTGTGTCACTGTGTGTGTGTCACTGTGTGTGTGTGTCACTGTGTGTGTGTGTCAGTGTGTCACTGTGTCACTGTGTGTGTCACAATGTGTGTGTGTCACTGTGTGTGTCACTGTGTGTGTCACTGTGTGTGTATGTCACTGTGTGTGTGTCACTGTGTGTGTATGTCACTGTGTGTGTGTGTGTCACTGTGTGTGTGTGTGTCACTGTGTGTGTGTCACTGTGTGTGTGTGTGTGTGTCACTGTGTGTGTGTGTCACTGTGTGTGTGTGTGTCACTGTGTGTGTGTGTGTCACTGTGTGTGTGTCACTGTGTGTGTGTCACTGTCTGTGTCACTGTGTGTGTCACTGTCTGTGTCACTGTGTGTGTGTCACTGTCTGTGTCACTGTGTGTGTCACTGTGTGTGTGTCATTGTGTGTGTGTCACTGTGTGTGTCACTGTGTGTATGTCACTGTGTGTGTGTCACTGTGTGTGTGTGTCACTGCGTGTGTGTGTCACTGCGTGTGTGTCTCACTGTGTGTGTGTCTCACTGTGTGTGTGTCTCACTGTGTGTGTGTCTCACTGTGTGTGTGTCTCACTGCGTGTGTGTCTCACTGCGTGTGTGTCTCACTGCGTGTGTGTCACTGTGTGTGTGTCACTGTGTGTGTGTCACTGTGTGTGTGTGTCACTGTGTGTGTGTGTCACTGTGTGTGTGTCACTGTGTGTGTGTGTCACTGTGTGTGTCTACTCACCATGGGGGTCTTGTATTTGTGAATCACCACTTCTTTAGTTTCAGAAACTACACACGCACACACAGTGACACACACACACACACGTACACTCACACACAGTGAGACACACACACAGTGACACACACACAGTGACACAGACACACAGTGAGACACACAACAACAACAACAACCGCCATTCGCCACTAAGTGGCGGTGACGTCACCACGACGCTTGTGCCAGGCTATGTGCACCCTGAGGCCACGTGAAGTGTCGAACGCCCGCTGGCAGGAGGTCACGGGGCAGACCCAGGTGCCACGGGTCGACTGACTGAGATGACTGGCTGGTGCACCACCTGTGCCCCCTACTGTGCCAACCTGCTGTGCTTTAGCCACCCGGCGCTCCGCTCGTTGTTGTGAGCGTCGCTCCTCCGCCCTCCGTTGTTGTTGGAGGGCGACTGCCTCCAACTGCCCAGTAGCATCCTTCACGAGCCTCCTCCACAGAGGCCGATCTTGACACCGCTGGTACCAGTCATCGGCAAGTCCACTCAGCTCCACGTCCTCCTGTACCACATCACTCCATCTCTTCTCTAGCCCGTGCCGCGCCCGTTTAGCCCCCTCGATCCGGCCTAACAAAGCTGTTTCGGCATGCGGTGGCTGGGCATGCGGGCTACATGACCCAGCCAACACAGCTTTGCCCGCCGGAGGAGCTCACCGATGGGACCTTGCCCAGATCTTTCAAGGATTTGTGAAATCCTCACACAATCCATTCTGGTTAAACACAGGATGGATCGTAGGCAGGCTAGCCTAAATGAGACACACACACAGTGACATACACAGTGACACACACACACAGTGTCACACACAGTGACACACACACAGTGAGAGACACACACAGTGACACACACAGTGACACACACTGACACACACACTGAGACACACACATACACTCACACACAGTGAAACACACACTCACACATAGTGACACACACAGTGACACACACAGTGATACACAGTGATACACAGTGACACACGCAGTGACACAAGCAGTGATACAAACTGACACACACACAGTGACACACACACAGTGACACACACAGTGACACACACACAGTGATACACACAGTGACACACATAGTGACACAGTGACACACACAGTGACACACACACAGTGACACACACACACACAGTGACACATACAGTGACAGTGACAAACGCAGTGACACACAGTGACACACACAGTGACACACACACAGTGACACACACACAGTGACACACACAGTGACACACACACACAGTGACAGACACAGTGACAGACACAGTGACAGACAGTGACACACAGTGACACACAGAGTGACACAGTGACACACACAGTGACACACAGTGACACACAGAGTGACACAGTGACACACACAGTGACACACACAGTGACACACACACAGTGACAAGACAAAGATCCCCCGTATAGCCTTAACAGACTGTAGGGGCAAGTGCTGTTAGCGAGCACCTATGAAGGCCGGAACGCTACACGAGGGGGTGGGTGGCCAGCACCACGCCCGACCGCCTTTGTCTCCCTAGTGACGATGTTTACACACCGCACCAGGTACTCATTTGAGGCTGAGTCGACCTAGGGGAGGCCCGGGACCGGTTCAGATAATCGTCACTGGTGTTGGCCGTGAGCGGGAATCGAACCCGGGTCGCCAGGTTCATAGCGCAGCGTAGCGCTAACCGCTACACTATCGCTCCCCACACACACAGTGACACACACACAGTGACACAGTGACACACACACAGTGACACACACACAGTGACACAGTGACACACACACAGTGACACACACACAGTGACACAGTGACACACACCGTGACACACACAGTGACACACACAGTGACACACACCGTGACACACACAGTGACACACACACAGTGACACACACACAGTGACACACACCGTGACACACACAGTGACACACCCACAGTGACAGTGACACACCCACAGTGACACATACACACACAGTGACACACACACAGTGACACACACACAGTGACACAGTGACACACACACAGTGACACACACACTGTGACACAGTGACACACACACAGTGACACACACACTGTGACACAGTGACACACACACAGTGACACACACACAGTGACACAGTGACACACACACAGTGACACACACACAGTGACACAGTGACACACACCGTGACACACACAGTGACACACACACAGTGACACAGTGACACACACCGTGACACACACAGTGACACACACACAGTGACACACACCGTGACACACACAGTGACACACACCGTGACACACACAGTGACACACCCACAGTGACAGTGACACACACAGTGACACACACACAGTGACACACACACAGTGACACACACACACACAGTGACACACACACACAGTGACACAGTGACACACAATGACACAGTGACACACAGTGACACACACACACACAGTGACACACACACACAGTGACACACACACACAGTGACACACACACACACAGTGACACACAGTGACACACACAGTGACACACACACAGTGACACACACACAGTGACACACACAGTGACACACACACGGGTGAGCCTTGGTCGATGCGTGGTGAGTGTTTGGGTGAGCGGGGTCGGTGTTGCATGAGCAGTGGTGGTGAGTGTGTGGTGAGTGTGTGGTGAGTGTGTGGTGAGTGTGTGGTGAGTGTGGGTGGGTGAGTGTGTGGTGAGTGTGTGGTGAGTGTGTGGTGAGTGTGGGTGGGTGAGTGTGTGGTGAGTGTGTGGGTGGGTGAGTGTGTGGTGAGTGTGGGTGGTGAGTGTGGTGAGTGTGTGGTGAGTGTGTGGTGCGTGTGTGGTGAGTGTGTGGTGTGTGGTGAGTGTGTGGTGAGTGTGTGGTGAGTGTGTGGTGAGTGTGTGGTGAGTGTGTGGTGAGTGTGTGGTGAGTGTGCAGTATTTTTTACCGTATTCCTCCAGAAGGAATAAACCCTTATCCGTGTTACACTTCCTGATGCTACTCAATTCTATAAACACCTGCAATAACACACACACAGACACACACACAGACACACACAGACACACACAGACACACACACAGACAGACACACACACAGACACACACACAGACAGACACACACACACACAGACACACAGATACACACACACACAGACACACACACACAAACACACACACACAGACACACACACAGACAGACACACACACACAGACACACACACAGAGACACACACACACACACAGACACACACACAGACACACAGACACACACACAGACACACACACAGAGACACACACACACACAGACACACACACAGACACACACACACACAGACACACACACAGACACACAGACACACACACACAGACACACACACACAGACACACACACACAGACACATACAGACACACACACAGACACAAACCGTGAGAGACATCGAGACACACGTGCACACAGCGCTGTGGGTTGTACTGCTGTGCCAGGCTAGGTGCATGAGGAGGTCACGTGACAGATCCTGCAGGTGCCATGGGGTGACTGTTGTGCCAGGCTAGGTGCAGGAGGAGGAGGTCACGTGACAGACCCAGCAGGTACCATGGGTTGACTGCTGTGCCAGGCTAGGTGCATGAGGAGGTCACAGGACAGACCCAGCAGGAATTATGGGTTGACTGCTGTGCCAGGCTAGGTGCATGAGGTCACGTGACAGACCCTGCAGGTGCCATGGCTTGACTGCTGTGCCAGGCTAGGTGCATGAGGAGGTCACATGACAGAGCCTGCAGGTGCCATGGATTGTACTGCTGTGCCAGGCTAGGTGCATGAGGAGGTCACGTGACAGACCCAGCAGGTGCAGGCACTAATGCACAGCTGTCCCTGTGCATTAGTCTGTGAGTGACACAGTGAGTGACACAGTGAGTGACAAAGTGTGTGACACTGAGTTAGTGGCAGAGTGAGTGACACAGTGAGTGACACAGTGAGTGACACAGTGAGTTAGTGACAGAGTGAGTGACACAGTGAGTGACACAGTGAGTGACAGAGTGAGTGGCAGAGTAAGTGACACAGTGAGTGACACAGTGAGTGACAGAGTGAATGGCAGAGTGAGTGGCAGAGTGAGTGACACAGTGAGTGAGTGACACAGTGAGTGACAGAGTGAGTGACACAGTGAGTGACACAGTGAGTGACAGTGATTGACAGAGTAAGTGACACAGTGAGTGAGTGGTAGAGTGAGTGACACAGTGAGTGAGTGACAGAGTGAGTGACACAGTGAGTGAGTGACACAGTGAGTGACATAGTGAGTGACAGAGTGAGTGACACAGTGAGTGACACAGTGAGTGACAGTGATTGACAGAGTAAGTGACACAGTGAGTGAGTGGTAGAGTGAGTGACACAGTGAGTGAATGACAGAGTGACACAGTGAGTGAGTGACACAGTGAGTGACACAGTGAGTGACATAGTGAGTGAGTGACACAGTGAGTGACACAGTGAGTGACACAGTGAGTGAGTGACACAGTGAGTGAGTGACACAGTGAGTGACACAGTGAGTGACATAGTGAGTGACACAGTGAGTGAGTGACAGAGTGAGTGACAGAGTGAGTGACACAGTGACACAGTGAGTGAGTGACAGTGAGTGACACAGTGAGTGAGTGACACAGTGAGTGACACAGTGAGTGACACAGTGAGTGAGTGACACAGGGAGTGACAGTGAGTGACACAGTGAGACACAGAGAGACACAGTGAGAAACACAGAGACACAGTGAGACACACAGAGATACAGAGAGACAGAGACACAGAGACACAGAGAGAGACACAGTGAGGGACACACAGAGAGACACACGGAGACACACGGAGACACACGGAGACAAACGGAGAGACACGCGGAGAGACACGGAGACACACGGAGACACACGGAGAGACACGGAGAGACACGGAGACACACACCGAGAGACACACACGGAGACACACACGGAGACACACACGGAGACACACACGGAGACACACACGGAGACACACACAGAGACACACACAGAGACACACACAGAGACACACACAGAGACACGGAGACACGAATGGAGACACACTCAGAGACACACACAGAGAGATACACGGAGAAAGACACACACAGAGAAAGACACACAGAGATACACACAGAGACACACACAGAGACACACACAGAGACACACACAGAGACACACAGAGACACACACAGAGACACACACAGGGACACACACACAGGGACACACGCAGAGAGACACACAGAGAAAGACACACACAGAGACACACACAGAGAGACACACACAGAGAGACACACAGAGAGACACACAGAGACAGAGACACACAGAGAAAGACACACAGAGACAGAGACACACAGAGAAAGACACACACAGAGACACACACAGAGACACACACAGAGACACACACAGAGACACACACAGAGACACACAGAGACACACAGAGACACACAGAGAAAGACACACACGGAGAAAGACACACACAGAGACACACACAGAGACACACACAGAGACACACACAGAGACACACACAGAGACACACACACGGAGACACACACAGAGACACACACAGAGACACACACAGAGACACACACAGAGAGACACACAGAGAGACACACACAGAGACACACACAGACACACACACAGAGAGACACACACAGAAAGACACACAGAGAAAGACACACACAGAGACACACACAGGGACACACACGGAGACACACACAGAGACACACACAGAGACACACACAGAGAGACACACAGAGACACACACAGAGACACACACAGAGACACACAGAGAAAGACACACACAGAGACACACACAGAGACACACACAGAAACACACACGGAGAGACACACAGAGAAAGACACACACACAGACACACAGAGACACACACAGAGACACACACAAAGAGACACACAGAGACACACACAGAGATACACACAGAGATACACACAGAGAGACACACAGAGAAAGACATACACAAAGACACACAGAGACACACACGGAGACACACACAGAGAAAGACACACAGAGACACACAGAAACACACACGGAGAGACACACAGAGAAAGACAAACACAGAGACACACAGAGACACACAGAGAGACACACAGAGAGACACACAGAGAAAGACAAACACAGAGACACACAGAGACACACACGGAGAAAGACACACACAGACAAAGATCCCCCGTGTAGCCTCTAGCAGGGCTGTAGGGGCAAGTGCTGTCAGTAGCAGCGTCTATGAAGGCTCCCGGCACTGTGGCACACACAGAGGGGGTGGCTACCAGCACCACCACGCCCGGCCGCCTTTGTCTCTCCCCCAGTGCTAACGATGTTCACTACACCACCACCGCTACACCAAGCGACTCATTTGAGGCCGAGTCGACCTAGCGGAGGCCCACGTAGGGTTCACGCACGCACACACACACACACACGCGCGCGGTGAGGGATTGGTGGTGAGCGAGCGGTGAGGAATTTGGAGAGCGGGTGGGTGAGGGGTTGGCGAGGGGGGGGGTTGGTGAGCGGCGGAGAGAGGGTTTTGGGTGAGCGTTGGTCAGTGTTGGTGAGTAGTGGTGAGTAGTGGTGAGTACCTGAGTCTCCTGGTGAGCCCAGATAGCATGCAAAAAAACAGCCACCTTTATTAGTGAGCAAAACTCACCGCCAACGCTCACCATTACTCACCGCCAACGCTCACCAAATGCTCACTCGCTAGCTCCTCCACTCACTCGCCGCTCACCAACTCACCCAGTCACCCACTCACTCACTCACTCACCCACTCACCCACTCACTCACTCACTCACCTACTCACTCACCCACTCATTCACCCACTCACCCACCCACCCACTCACCCATTCACTCACCCATTCACTCACCCACCCACTCACTCACCCACTCACTCACTCACCCATTCACTCACTCACCCACTCACCCAACTATTCACTCACCCACCCAACCACTCACCCATTCACTCACTCACCCACTCACCCACCCACTCACTCACTCACCCACTCACTCACTCACCCACTCACTCACTCACCCACCCACTCACCCACTCACTCACCCACCCACCCACTCACCCACTCACCCACCCACTCACTCACTCACTCATCCACTCACCCACCCACTCACTCACTCACCCACTCACCCATCCACTCACTCACTCACCCACCCACCCACACACTCACCCATTCACCCACTCACTCACTCACCCACCCACTCACCGACTCACCCACTCACCCACCCACTCACCCACCCACTCACCCACCCACACATCCACCCACCCACCCACCCACTCACCCACCCACCCACCCACTCACCCACTCACTCACCCACTCACCCACACACTCACCCACCCACTCACCGACTCACCCACTCACCCACTCACTCACCCACTCACCCACCCACTCACCCACCCACTCACCCACCCACACATCCACCCACCCACCCACCCACTCACCCACCCACCCACCCACTCACCCACTCACTCACCCACTCACCCACTCACTCACCCACCCACTCACTCACTCACCCAGGGGTCGTGGAGTCAAGGTTAAGGGTCAAGGTTAAGGGTCAAGGGCACGACCAAGTGACTCGGAGAGACTCCACCTGGAGGAGCTACAAAGACCTCTCCCTCCCTCCCTCCTCTCCCTCCCCCCCCTCCCTCCCCCAGCCCCCTCCCTCCCCCAGCCCCCTCCCCCAGCCCCCTCCTCTCCCTCCCCCAGCCCCCTCCTTCCCCTCCCACCTCCCCCTCCCCTCCCCCAGCCCCCTCCCCCCCCCCTACCACCAACACCTCTCCACGTATCCAGGCCACTTGGGGCATTCCACTTGGGACAGCAGCAGCAGCAGCTGGGCCAAGCGGAAGCAGCAGCAGCAGCAGGGGCAGCAGCTGGGCCAAGCAGCAGGGGCAGCAGCAGCAGCAGGGGCAGCAGCAGCAGCAGGGGCAGCAGCAGGGGCAGCAGCAGCAGGGGCAGCAGCAGGGGCAGCAGCAGGGGCAGCAGCAGCAGCAGGGGC